GCATGAGTCCCGAGTGTGGAACAACCATCAGCTTAGCATTGGCATGAAGCTGATGGTGTACAAATCCATGGTACTGTCCGTTCTTCTATACGGCAGTGAATCGTGGACGATGTACCGGCGGGATGTGCGATATCTCGAGCGGTTCCATCAGCAGTGTCTGCGACGAATTTTGCGGATCGGCTGGGGCGCCAGAGTTGCAGACACGGAAGTGTTGCGCCGAAGTGGGATGTATGCAGTGGACTGCATACTTTTACTGCGACACCTGATATGGCTCGGTCATGTGAGCCGTACGGATTCGACGCGAATACCGAAACAACTTTTATACGGTCAGCTGAGTATAGGGAAGCGGCACGTGGGAAAACCAAAGTTACGTTACCGGGACATGATCAAAGTGAGCCTCACACGTTCTTATCTTGATTGCAGATCATGGGAATCGAAGGCGGTTTATCGGCGTGCATGGCGCGATCTAATCTCGAAGGCAGTTGCTGAAGTGCGGGAGAAAGCCCTCATGCATGCAGAGAAGAAGCGGCAAGTGCGGAAGCGGCAAGCACCGATGGATTGTACTCCATCGACATCGAGTGCATGGTGCTGTAGAACATGCGGTCGCAAGTGCCTTAGTCAGGCAGGCCTAGTGAGCCATGAGAGAGGTCACTCGGGACCACTGCCGAAGCGACGACGGGTTCTGCAGAGAACATAGGCAGAACCGGCGCGGCGTTTGTAGGTAGTGGGTTTTCAATTTTGTCCTAATGTCTTTCTTTCTCCTATACATGTCTATTGTCTAGTGAGCCATGAGCGAGGCCACTCGGGACCACTACAGAAGCGACGACGGGTCCGGCAGAGAAATATTCAAAACCGGTGCAGCGTCTGTAGATACGCTTGCATGCTAAGTCTCTTTATTTCAGGTGATGGGTTTCCAATTTTGACTTAATGCTTTTCTTTCTCATATAAATGTCTACCTGTACTCTATTCCATTAACTTGCACAGCTCGCTTAAGCCAATTGTATTCGATTTCCATAACATTTTTGTGTTCGTAGCATTTCCGTATTGTATACTTTCTCACCTCGTGAACTTATCTAGGATTCGTTTGTAAACAACTTATTTCATATGCTCATTAACTTAAGGTTTATGTCACCGTTTCCATATGCATCAATCGAGTTATTTTCTTTCCCTCTCTTTCTCTCTCGCAAGTGTTTGGCTGTTGTTTGATATCCCCGGTGTGGATGCGCTTCATGTGCATGTTGACAAGGTGCCTACCTGTCTATTACCCACTACCTCGTCCATCTGACTCCAGGAGACAGTTGGTCGTTGCTGGAGGGGATGGGGTGCACGGTCCTTGTGGCCTTGTTAGGATCAAAGAGTGGTTCCATGCACTCAGTGTGGAGCGGACTACGGTCCAGCCACCGCCTTGTGTGCGCTTGATTCCCAAATACAGTGCACTTGTGTTTGCCTGTGAAGGAGTGTGGGCCGGCTCCGTTGATGAAACGTGGTTCCCATCCGCATGCCTCCCGGTCTTATTCCTTCTGGTTTACACCGGATATGGGGTGTGTGGTTGGAGCTGTGGGTGGTGCAGCGCAAGCCATCCATGGTCTTTCTGTAGGCGAAGGCGTCCTGGGGCTTGCCACAGTGACAGACAAATCCGAAACCGGATGCCGCCAACCAACCATGTGGCCCTGGCACATATCGATCGGGAAATGGCTTAATAGTCAACGCCTGTCGGCTTTACAGAGCAACTGGACTGTCCTAGCAGTTTAGGCAATTTACGTTTGAAACTGGAGCACAGCGGGCTCCACTGTCCTGTGAACTACGAATGTTCAGCCGTAGTCCGAAGCCAGTTGATCGATACTAACCCGCATGAAGCAATTTTTCCGACGGAGAGATTGGTGTTCTGATTCGCGAACTTAGGCTTATCCTGATTGGCTGAACTTCGCTCGACGCTGATTGATTAGCGGACATTTTGTGATTGCTTTTTCGTCCTTGGCACTTGTACGTTCTACGTGCCTCTTACAATATACTTCTGTCAAATCTACGTACTTCTGCTACAACAGTGAAGATTTATGGCAAGCTGAATCTACCTCACAATATCTCCCGTGGTGTGAAACACAAATGCCCGCTATCACCTATTCTCTTTGCCACTGATAAAGTCGTGGGTGCTACGTTCACTGGACACGACCTACAAGGTGTAGAGCTGCTCCCAAGTGATCGACTTCTTGACTTACAGTAAACCGGCAACATTGCCCTTACTTGTGACAGCTCCCAAACCTGCCAAGCAGCACTGGATAAATTAGCAGTAGCTGTCAGAACTTTTGGGCTGTGCTTTGCGCTGTCGAAATGCAAAGTCCTCCAAAATTAGCAGGGATCCACCCTCTGCGCTGACCGTTGGTGGTGAGCAGCTAGAAGTCGTCGAGAAATTCAAGTTTCTAGGCAGCTACCTTAGCTCCAGTGGTATGGAAGATGATATCACAATCCGCATAACAATACCCAAGGCGCTTTTGCCATTCTCCACCACCTGTGACCCTGGCGCGACAGCATTCTCGCTCTGAAGGGTAGAGTTTACAATGCAGCCGTCCGTTCAACCCTACTTCACAGTTGCGAAACCTTATCCATCATCTCGACATACATAAATAGGCTAGTTAAGTTCGATCATCGCTACCTTCGCAGCTTAGCTCATGTTTGGTGGGTACACCGCGTAAGCAATGAGCGCGTTTGGTGTCGTGTATTTGGTGCAGGGAGTGAGAGAACCACTCAGCATCATTTGATAATGCACCAGGCTTTGATGGCTGGGCCACGTGTAGCACATATCAGCACACTTGATCCTACGATGTGCGTTACTTACGCGTCTGCGATGTGGATTGAAGAAGAGGGGGAAGGATAATCGATGAATTGGTTAAGAGAAATGATGTCCCTCACTTCGAAGTCGGCGTCGGTTAGTGTCTCCCAACTGCCTGGCTGGGGTCCGATGAACGATGAACACTTTTAGTTGCTGCATTCTTTGACATGACAATGAGTCGACCTGTGGCAATTATGTCGTGAGTTTATTTGCCCCTCCTCTTCCCGATAATATCCACCCTTCAACCAAGGTCTCAGACTTTAAGCATATGTGACTACACATTGTGCTATCTGTTGTTCTTTGTATTCTAAATGTTTAATGTCTCGTTTCAAGAAATAAGGACATATTTCCAGGCTGTTGCTAGAAATATACCCTATCTTTTTTATTGCGTCACAATAGTTGGAGTGTTTCTCACCTTCAGCTTATGTGTAATGATGATGATAATGATTATCCCTAGCCTTTGGCCTAATAGCCTACCCGCAAGGCTCGAAACGAATGCAGGGAAGCGCGTCCATTGGGAGCCGGCGCCTGATTACTCAGCTCATACGTCATTCCTTTGGTCGGTTGCCAAAGAATGGCGCAGTTTTCCCATAATTACAACATCACTTTGCTGGGATACAATGTTTGGCGCAATACCGCTAATTAGGCAGCATAACGACATTTCATAATAAATTGGCGAAGATGACACTGACGTCTCCTTTCAACTTGGTCCTCTTTAAGTAGTGGTGTAAGGATTACCTTTTCCTTAGGGATATCAAATGGTGGGTTCTCCTTGGGTTTTGAGTTCGTGTGTTGTGCTATGAACGTTCGGGATATCCGATTTTCCCGGTGTGACATTTTGCAGCTCACTTTTCATCCCGGTCGAAAGCAAATGTGATGTGCTCTGGCGAACTGGTACGAACTAAATCTCGTTAATAGTTCGTAGGACATAAATTATTGAAAGTGAAACATTGCCATGTTCCTGTTGGTTTGTTGTATACAGGCTGAATGAGCGCACTATCTTCGTTACTCTGCAGGTTAACGTCTAGGAAATGGAAGTCCCTATGGGATTCGTTTACAATCATGAATTGATTAAGGAATGGCACATATTCATCATAACTAGTTACTCCACCGCCAGTGGAGCTATGTCAACGATAACAAACATGGCTCCCATATAGCGGCAATAAAAATGCGCGGTTAGTATATAAGGACGTAGCTTGGTATTTCCCAAGTTACCCATAAATATATCAACTAAAAGTGGCTCCATGGCTATACCATCAATGTCGTTACAGCGTTGTTTTTTACTTCAGACCTCCGTGCTCGTCTCCCTCCAACCTGAATACACGTGAGCCAAAAGTATGCTTGTGTGGGAACGGGAAAAGCAAATGGTTGTTGTCGAAACCTTAGCCGAAAAATCATCATGGACCAGAATGTGGCCTGTGTCCGTTCACTATACATCTAATTGCCGACATATTTTATGGAAACAGCTCTTTGTCATGTACATCCAACAAAAGGAGAGGACAGACCGAACCGAACTCGATCCTGAAACAAAATGATAACGCCCTAATGGCCTCGCTAATCATGAGTCGGTGTAGAACATTTCACAAATTATACTGCAAATCATTTGGCTCACCTAGTCGAGAGTCTACTGCTTTTCCTCACAACCGCGATTTCCATTCTTTGTTATGACAGTGGATTGTAATGGTATATTGTGAATGAATATCTGGACTTAATTTGTGCATTACTACAACTTAAAGACTTATGCGTTGGTAACCCTCCGTCGCGTGCAATTTACCTGTCCATTCCCATCGGGAATTCCAATGTTCCTCGCCTCTTGGGAGGCCAGTTTAGCTCCACTCCCACAGAGCACATTACATAACGATACAGCGCCAACTGCTCTCCTATCGTGCTATGAAACCTGGTCTGACATCGCGCTGGTGACGCCTCATTAGCATCGAAACACTTCCGGTAGCTGGGTCCATTTTCTCTTCACGGTCCATACCAACCAGCCAATTTCCTCTGTGTTTTTTTTGACGCGAATCACTGACTTTGGTGAACGTGAGTGAAAACTTTGTCAGAGCTGTCGGTGATACGGTTTAGGTTCAAGCTTAGAAATACATGTCTTTAAGACCGGCTGCTTCACATCTACCGTGAATGGGTCCTAATGAAATAAAGTGGAGGTTTGAAAACTTACGTTGTTCTCTGCACCACCAAAGCATGAAGCATATTCTGTTATCCACCTTCGGCCCAGTATGTTCACTTCATTGTTCAACGGGTTTCTCAGGGGCATGTCATCGGAATCGCTGTGGTTCATCACAGACCGCCAGGCCATGTGACCGGCCACCATAGGATCAGCTCGAACACATTTTCGCTTGGTCATTCGATCCATTAGGTGGAGCGATACCGTGTTCCACAAACTGCCGGCTGATAACGGAGTGAAAACATGGTTTGAACCTTTTAGCAACTTTTATTTTCATATCAATTTTGACTAAGACCAACTGTGCAAAGTATTTTATGGAAGAAACATACAGTCAACAAGTGGCATAAAGAATTATTTCCGAGAGAGTTGAAAGGGATTTTGCCAGCCTTAAGCACTTCAAACACATGGTCTACGTGAATCAGTCTAATTGTCAATTTTGAAATCCCAGCAGCCCATGCTTCACATAAACTGTTATTTCTCATTGGCTTACTTTAGTCACACAGTTGTTGAAAAGATGAGCGCTAACACGTAAACTTCGTGAAAGCTCGTTATGGGCAGAAACGTTTTCTGTTAGGTCGATCGGATTGAAATGATAGGCCTCTGTCTATTTCTGAAGCACAGTTAGCTTACTGTGCGATGATCATGCACCCCCTCGGACGCGAACAGAGCGGAACGAGACGGAAAGCATGCAGATTGAAGCCACTCAACACCACCCCAGGTTTACGACGACAATACCCAAGAACTGTGAATCCTATGTTACTTTGTTACATAAGCGCCCCTTATGAATATCAATTTGTATAAACTTGGTTGTAGCCTCCGAAATGACGAGACTACAGTGAGCTGAAGCAGATGGAGATCACTCTTTCGATAATTACACTGAAATATCCAGTTGGATTTTGGCACACATCAATCGAGTATGTGGCGAGCAATCGTGCTAGTTGGAATCTTGTAGCTGTTTGCAACCATATTAGAAGGAACGTGCTCTGCTTTGGAAACAGCCTTCTCTCAGTCTGGCCAGCCTACGAACTGAGAGAATCATCTGGTTTTCAACAGTGAAACCTCCGGACAGTAAGTACACATCGACAAGGATTGAATTTAATGTTTCCAAAATTACTTTGAACTGTGGATTGACCTAGTGACCAAATGTTTAAGCGAAATGCGCATGGAGGAAATCCACTGAGCCTGGTTCAACAGACTCTTCAACAAGACTGTATAGTTGATAGTAAAACCCGGGCGAAAGTGGTGAATAAGAGTAAGTCGGAGGGTGGTAAACATTAAAAAAAGTGCTGGACAATTTAGGAGTAATGGTGGATGTTTGTGAGTAGTGTAAAGTTCGAAGAAAGTCGAAGCCACTATTAAAATTCACGCACAATAATATGCCTCGACGGGGAGTCGAACCCCGGTCCACGAATTTCCGGTCCGCTGCTCTACCACCTGAGCTACCGAGGGCTGACGATTAGGTGCGCAAATTTTAACACATGTCTTCTGCTTGGTGCGCGACGTGTTGCCAATAAGCTCACAGTGCCTGTCCTGATGTTGCAGATTGGCTCACTCACCCGTCATATTATTGCGCGTGAATTTTAATCGTGGCTTCTACTTTCTTCGAACTTTACGCTACTCACAAACATCCACCATTAATCTACCATCGCCCATTGGACGTCTGAAGGACAGGAACTTCGGTCTATTGGGAAGTGACGGGTGAGTGAGCCAATCTGCAACATCAGGACAGGCACTGTGAGCTTATTGGCAACACGTCGCGCACCAAGCAGAAGACATGTGTTAAAATTTGCGCACCTAATCGTCAGCCCTCGGTAGCTCAGGTGGTAGAGCAGCGGACCGGAAATTCGTGGACCGGGGTTCGACTCCCCGTCGAGGCATATTATTGTGCGTGAATTTTAATCGTGGCTTCTACTTTCTTCGAAATTTAGGAGTAAGCAAGTGGTAGGGTCCATACACGAAATGGACTCTACCTCCAAGGGTTTATGGTCTACATTACGGTACGGCTCATTGTCGGCGGTATAGACACCCCAGCCCACTAACTCGCCAGGTATTTAGCAAGGCCACTGCAGCCTCTGAAACTCTTACAAGTTCGCGCAAAAGAACAACGCTCACAATCCAGCCAGATGAGTTGTTGGTACGCTTCGAAGTGACCTCAGTTTTCACCAATGTACCCAAAGGCGAGGATCACACTGGGTGATAGAAGGAAACTTATGGTTGACCAGAGAGTCGAGGGTATAACTTTGTTTTTGTCCAGATCCGTCGCAGCTAGACTCAGGCAGACAGCCACTACACATCCAGGAATGCACTAGACGGCCGTTTCCTCCTATTGGGACTAGTCAGTAGCGTGCATTCTTCGCATTCTGCGGGATGTTAACCCACGACCTTACTGTTACTAGCCAGGGACTTTCCGCTGAGCCATGGGAGACGGCAGGGAACCGCCATGACTCATATCTAACTGCGATATAACGCGACTCATCCCCCACTGTCATGCATGTCATGAACATGCAGAGGCCTGAGTTTATCTACGGTGAATCTTCACAAAAACCCAATCCTTCCCCCTGCTACTCACTAATAAGCAGTGATCGCTTTAGCAGCATATATGCCACCTCGATTAGTGGCAGCTTGCTAAGGAAGTGCTTGCTATGGGACCAGACCTGTCCTCTGCACGTTCATGACACGCCCGGCAGTGGGGGATGAGCCGCGCCAAATCGCAGTCACAGCGGTCCTCTGCTGTCACCCGTGACTCAATGGTATTAGTCCCTGGATAGTAACAGCAAGGTCGTGGGTTAACATCCGACAGGATTCGGTGAGTGCGCTCTACTGACGAGTCCCAGTAGGAGGAAACGACCGTTTTGCGCTGTCCTGGATGTGTATTGGCTGTCCGTCTGAGTCTAACTGCGACGAATCTTCACAAAAACCCAATCAACTCCCTTACCACTCACTAGTATGTTACTGTGTCAATATGTCGTACTTCGTTTCTCAGTCGATGTGAAGTCAGGAACAAAGTCTCGCCAAGGGATCACCAATATCCCCTATACAAGCGAGCTTGTACATGGAAGACTTTGAGTACAAGGCGTTAACAAACACCTATAGCGCACCGGAAGTTTGGCGGCGCTACCTGGACGACACTGTCGTAGTTGTTAGACGGGATAAGAGGGACGAGTTGCATGGCCATTTAAACTCCGCTGACGAAGGGATACATTTTACTTTTGAGTAGGACTCTTGTAGGGATACAGTAATAATTGTTAACTTCCTAGCTAGCAAAAGGGGGAAATTCAATACTGCCATATATATGTAGCCAACAGACACTGATGGGGTACTCGACTACACTCAGCTCATCCAAAACACGTTTACGCTGAGTTAGCCTCAACGCTGTTCTATGGGGCACAAACCCTATGCGCTGTGGAGGGGGGGGGACCAAAAGGCCTCGCAGTAAGAGGTAATGGGCAAACTATTAGATAGTGGTTCCCACAGCCGTTAGTCAAACGCCAGTTACATAAAGTGCTAAACCAAGAGTCAAGAAACACTGCGAAGTGGATATGAACGGTAGGGATTCCGTACAAGGAAGGAACCTCATAAGTGATTCGGATGGTAATAAACAGGGAGAATATACGAGGTCAAACATTGCCTTCAACGCTGGTGCACCTGAAGAACATTCTTCCCAAAAAATGAAATTAATTGGATCTACAGAACTAAATGGAAGGACTTGCAGATGCATACGTTGTACAAACCGCGAGACAGCTACGCATACGAATTTCAGAGCCAAAAGGCGCATTTCAAGACTACTGGTGAGCGACCCTCAATACCTAACATTGTTAGGCAATTCGGCCTTGGCTGTGCATCGCAGGCGTAGCATCGGGGGTGGGGTGGCCGCCTCGGAGGGCATGTGACATAGACCGATATTTTTAGTACCGTCAATTGTTCGATACCAAATATAAAGGATACAATATCCAGACAAACTGAGGGTTGATGTTAATTTTACTGTCTGACCAAAAACATTTGTATCACGTACCACCCCTGTGCAAGCGTTCTTCCAAGCAATCCACTTATCTGTCCCATTGTGGTCACGTTCCCCACATTCACATCAGTGTCCCAAACGATCATCCATTTCATCGAAAAGTAATGCATACTTTACTCTGAGCCGATTGTGTGTCCTTCACGCGCCTTTTCTGCCCTCAGGGCGAAAATTTTACCACCCTTCAGTCAAAAGTAGTTGTTACGCCACTGCTGCACATGTATTACGCACGGGTCAACAGACTGATTTGGATAATGTAGTGATGATTAACAGGGGTACACGAGCAAATCCCAGCGGTTTATTGCCAGGGCAGTGGAATTCGCGAATACCGACGGCTGCGTGGACAGGATGGAAGGAATGGAATTCTCACGTGCATGGCGAGCCAAACTGAAGAGTGCCGATGCCTGGATCCGGTGATAAAGCGAAAACCGACTCCTAATCGCCACCATGAAGGACTTGTTTGTCAATGCAATTACACACATGGGAGCAGATGGACACTTCCAGCTGTGACTACAAACACTTGATATCGCGATCTATGCGTGTACTAACACCTTGGCACATGTCCCTGTTGTCACGATTATCCTCCTAGTTCGCTATCAAACGGCGCTCTAACGGTATACTGATTCATCTAGCCAATAACAAATGTGTTGTCAAAGCGAAACGTTGTCAAACGAACGCACCAGCCAGTTATTTATAAACCACTTGAAACTCATTAGCTGCCGATCGGAGTGCTGGGGGCAGAAAATGCTGGGGAGTGGAAATGCCATGGTACCGGTAGAAAGATGGCCAATCGAACGCCACCGGGCATCTTGCGGAGTACCAGACAGATGCAATCCAGTCCGATAGACAGTGAGCATGTCATCGGAAGCAGATTGGTCAGCCGAGCCGCAAATCGTTGGCGCACGTCCGCGTCGAGCCCTGCAAGTAAAGCCAGCAAACATCCACTGAATGCGCAGGTGACCAATCAGGCGCCAGCAGGTTCTAAATGCACATTTGAAGATGCGCGTAACGGTGAGGAGCGTATTGGTGCGCACTTGAGCCAAGGTTTGTGGTATTGGACCGCGGGAAGAAGAGTGCGGCCTGATGGACGAGTGCCCAATCGAGCCAACCATACAATTCACTAAGAAGTCGAGGTAATTTTAGACAGAATTAACCTTGCGAGCAAGGGTAGAGCGATGAAACTGGAGGCAGCGACAGAATGCAAATAACCTGGATAAGCCAGTGAAGCGGACTGTTGCAAATAGTGTATATGCTCTATAAAGATGTAGGCGTAATCTTAATAAAAGCCTTAGTGATCGCGGCCCATTCTTCTTGCTTTTCGGAGGGCTACTCAACATAGCGACAGAGAAGCCGACAAGTCGGAACCCGTTCGTTTTGGTGGACAGCCGTCGATCCCGGTTTGAACACTCTGCAGATGACTGAAAACACACTGTCAGCGAAGTAGAGAATGTGGAAGGCGAAGTGAATGGATTTCGTCAAGCTGGCCCAGTTGGCTACTTAACCGATGGCGTGCCAGTTGGCGAACTTCAGGCACGTTGTGGGTGATAAAGTTAGAAGGGTGCTCGAGACACCGGAACTCAGCGAGGAAGGTCAGGAAGTCGAAGTTTCGGAAGCGCTGAGAATACTCGGAGCATTTTGCCTAGGACAGTCAAATGAAACGTCGCAGAGCTATTTATTTTTTGGTCGCAAGCGGTCCCCAATTGAACATCACAGCTGTTGACGCGTAACTGCAACATTTGCAATCGCATTAGAGAATCCTTGATTCATGATCGAATTGTCATTGGCATAAAGAATGATGAACTCACTCGGCGCCTTCTAATACAAAGGAACCTGTCTTTAGAACTATGTGTGGACATCTGCCTGAGTGAAGCGTGTGAGCATGTGAGAGCGAAAGCAAACACCGATCTGTGCGCGGTATCCCGAACCAGCAATAGTCCGCCCCAGACACCCGAATGACAGGGTCCGAGTTGTCAGTTTTGCGGTCCTACACATCCAAAAAGAAAGCAGAGTTGCCCAGCTTGGAGTCGAATGTGCACAACATTTTCCAAGAACAACTACCTTGCTTGCTGTTGCGGATCCACCAAGATCATCTCAGTGGTCGAGAGCGTCAACCAACAGATGCAGGAATTTCCGATAAACAACTTGGAAAATCGTGGAGAACCAAAGTGTGTTTTCGCGACGCTTTTGGTTCGAGGACGACCTATGTGCTTCCTACTGGACTCAAAAGATACTGTCAACATCCTACCTTAGAAGAACTGTGTGAGTCACATGTGACAGAAAGCGGAAGTGCCTCAGAATGTGGAACCGAAACGTACCTCCACGTTGAAGGCTATCAATCCGAGAAACGGTACAGAGCACCAACTAGGTTTTCGATAGTCTCAAGAGACCTTACGCCCATTTCAGGCATTGTATCTATTCATAGTCGCGGCTTTGTTTCCTTAAATCATAAACGTTCCGTCCATTCGTGTGAAGCTAGCATAGCCATTGTTGACAGGTAACCGAGCATGTTTGACGGGGTCGTAGGGAGATCCGAATGGTGTGCACAGTTGTCTTTAGTCGAATCTGCTAAGCCGATAGTGTTGCCAACCAGAAAGGTGCCTTACGTGAGAAGTTTGAGACGAGCTGCAGAGTCTTGCCAGTTTGGGTGTAGTAGCTAAACTAGAGGAGCCGACCGACTGGGTTAGCCAGGTGGCGGTACTGACTAACAAATTTGAAGAACGACGCGTGTGCATTTATTCAAAACCACTTAACGCCGCGCTCAAGAGGAGGCATTTGAAGTGTTCGTCGCTCGCATGGATTGACGGTTGATTCTCAATCGGAACTCGAAGTCGCTGCCCCCCCCCAGATGAGTTGAGCAAAGGAACAGGGATGTATTAGCCAACCACACCGTTCACTATAATGGTAAATCGAAAGTTCGTGAATGGTATTCAAAGTTCCCGTGGAAAATTGCAGAAGGGTCAACTTACGTCCAATCAAGCAATGCCAACCTCGTGTTAACTGGCCACTTCACCCGGTTGGCCATATATTCTTCCCAATCAGTGCAGGTGAGTTTCGTTCGCCTGCCATGTCTTGGCTTCGTAATGGCGATGGGCGCCACGAATCTTCGCTTAGCGTGTTCTTTCCTAACAGCATTATACGCTACTGACGCTAGATGACGTACTTCCGGTGCTATTCAGAACTAGAATATGCACAAACTTCGACCTGGCATCGGCATTTTGGCACCTATTGCTTGACTAGAAGTCAAGCTACCAAACCACATTTGGGACACCTTTTGGCCGTTCCCGATGGCTTCGTCTACACTTTCGACTGAAGGTATCTAGCGAGATATTTCAGAAACTACTGGTGCAAGCTTTAGACGATTTACCAGGAACATTCCGTGTGGCAGACGACGTTTTGGTTTTTGGTGCTACGCGAGAGTAGCACGACCAGAACCTCGACCGATTTTTGCAGCACTGTTTTGAAAGGAACGTCAAGCTAAAACGAGAGAGGATGGATTTGCGTAGACGAATGTGTTGTTTCATGGAGACGTGTCAAGCTACGAAGGATTGAAGCGAGACCCAGAGAAGGTCAGGGCCATCAAGGGATGCCTCTTCCTACTGACGTAAAAGCCGTTCGTAGGCTGAATGGGCTGGTGAATTAATTAATCCGTTTCTTGCCCGGCTTAGCCGAGGTAATGGTACCGATTCGGAAACTGACGCATAAGGGAGAGAAGTGATTTTGGGACGCGGAGCAGGAGCGAGCAATTCAGAACATAAAGGAGTTGCTCACGTGCGCCCCTGTTCTCGCTTAGTATAACCCAGCACTCCCATCTGCGATCCAGTGTGACAGCAGTCAGTAAGGTATCGGGGCCGTACTCATGCATAACGGTAAGCTTATCAACTTTCGTAGCCAGACGCTGACAGGGGCTGAGCGTCGTTACGCGCAAATAGCAAAAGAAATGCTTGCAATGGTTTACACGGTGGAGTGTTTCAATGACTATACAGTTGGCTGCAAATCCACCGCTTTTAGCGGCACAGGCCCCTGGTTTCGATCGCCAGTAAGCTGCTGCATTTTGTTCCACGCCGTCTGCAAAGGATGCATATTCGACTGCAGAAGTATGACCTAGAACTTGTCCACCGGCCAGGATCCCAAATGCACATTGCGGACACGCCGTCAAGAGCGCACCCGTCAGACGCGCCCGGAAAGGAAGAAGACCCAGACTTTGTCCATGTAACACAGCTGATCGCCGTCACTGAGGAACGTTTGTAGCAGCTCCAACGGTGCACTGAGAAGGATGAAGTGTGCAAGCTACTGAAGCACATGATAAGGAATGGATGGCCAGAAGACAAGAAAAAGCTGTCAAGGAGCTGACTCCTTTCCTTCCCTTTCGCGATGAACTCATTACCAGAGATGGATTAATATTCAAAGACAACAGGATAGTAGTTCCAAAGGCACTGCAACATTCGATACTGGAGCTGATACATTGTGCCCATGTATAAGCCAACAACTACGTGGCAAGAGCTAGAGATCTATTGTTCTCGCTTGGAATGGCCAGCCAAATAGGTGACTACGTCTCCAATGGTGTGGCACGCAGGACACACGACGTATACTAGCCAAAAGAAACGATGATGCTTCGTGGCGTTCCTCACAGACCATGGCAGACTGTTGAACTGGACATTTTTGCTCGCGACGAAAGGAACTACTTGATTGTGTTAGGTTAGTTTAGTTACCTCGAGATCAATGCACTTACGATCACTAGTACGCAGGCCATGGCGAACAAATTGCAGTGCCATTTCGCTCGGCATGGAATACCCGAGGTGGTGAGTTCCGACAACAGGCCGCAATTTAATAGTGCAGAGTTTCGTACTTTCAGCAAGAAGTTGAATTTTTATCATCAGCTAACCAGCTCAAACCATAGCCAATCAAGCGGAAAGGCTGAGTCCCCAGTGAAGGAGGCAAAGGAAGTGCTAAGAAAAGCCAAGCAGCCCAAGGAAGATCCATACATAATGCCACTGGATGGAAGGAACACGACATCCACTGATCTCGGAGCGTCCCGCACAGCGTCTATTCGGTTGCCAAACAAGTACGCTAATAGCGACCGTTAAAACTCTACCCTAGTCCGAGATAGCGCCGGCCGATGTTCTTCACAACGGAGTACGGAACAGATTGCTAAGGCAAAAGAGGTACCATGATCGCGGATCGAAACATCTCCCGCGACTACCTACAGGAGAAGAGGTATGGGTGCAGACAGTACCGGGATCCGAAGGATGCTGGCGGAAGGGAGTGATCGAAGGTCGGAATAGAGAGAGGAGCCATGAAGTCAAGGTTAGGGACAAGCTCATTCGACGGAATCGGGTGCAACTGAGAAGAACGTCTCATGAGTGGACACCGCAAATAGAGGATCAGCAAGGACATCCGGAGAGAAGTCCTGCTGTAGCGGTCTGGAGATTCCCCCGGATTGCTTGAAGAGTTTGTAGAAGGTAGAAGCCACGC